GATTAGTATAGAGTGCTGTAATCGTATCCGAAGAGGGACATTGGATAATTACAGACAAAAAAGGACGCGGCGAAAGGGGGAAAAATAGTACTTAGAAAGCTTCTAATTAAAACAGAGACCAATTTCTAATCGCATCATAAGTGTATATCAATGAAGAGTCACAAAATATATGTATATGTCCAGTAATCAAGGAATATAAGTCGGACGGCTCTAAGAATCTTATTTTAACACATAAAGAAGACTTGTGTGATGTTTGGTACATCATTTACATGAAATCGCACTAAACTGTATGTGGAACCTATATTAAGCAGATTTGAAGCACTCTTGACAAACGTCATTACATGCATAATTCAAAAGTTTTTTTTTCTGAATTTCGTGTCAAGTGGCCATTTACATGAAATCTGGCGAATTTACATAGGTCACTTTTTCTTAAACTGAGCTAATTTGAAACGTTATTCACCCCTAATTTTTGCTGAATTCAGAACGCTGACCAAAATGTATCTGACAACTGAGTAACCGTATGTAGTAACAAATGATAGACAATCACCATGGCCTTTTGTCAGCTACAAAAGTGATACAAATCCCTTAGCATTGTCCAAATTGATATTTTGTACAATTTTACTACTCTTCACAAGGTTGCTATGATAAATACTTTATCTTGGCAACAATAAACAAAAAGAAACCCATCGAAAAGAAAAAATCTGATGGATATTGTGGCACCATTACACATTTTTGGCCTCACTCTAAAGGCATTACTTCCAACGTTATTTTTGCAACAACGAAATTTATACTCCCTGAGTTGGGTCGGGATGCAACAAAAAGCCACAAGGAAAGTCAACTTAATTTTCATAACACTATCCTATTTCGCCTTCTTGAAAGTCTTGGACATGCCGTTGTGGCAGACACTGCCGCTACAAAGATGGAACGACATTTAAGTCTTCGAAGCAACAATATAATGTTGACAAAAGATTATCGCTGTCACAAATACACAACAGCATCCCAAAGTCACTCTGTCGGTTGGGTGTTCTTTGTCATTAGAAAAGATATGGCTTGATGGGAGCATTATTGCATCACATTTTGCTGTTATCGCACAATTTCCAGTTACAACGTGGAACAGCATCACCATGGGTTTTGACTTTCATTAATAGAGACTCGTCTATCGCGATGTTATAACAAAGAGACAAATGAGAAAAACTGAATTCATATAAATGTGAAATTGACAATTTCGGAGAAATTGAAAACGACTTGAAGACCTTTGAGAAATGTTCCATAGATAGCTTCATTGAAAACAAGGCAAATTAAATCCAATGATTAATATTCATCACAATTTAAAATATAGTATATATATAGCTTTCAGTTCTACCCACAAAGGTTAAAAAATACTTGTATAGTTTGTGTAAGGTGTCGAGTGTTCCCAAAACTTTATTGCAAAAAAAAAAAAAGTCTAGATTTTGTTAAAACAATTGCTATTGTTTATTGTTTATTATTACCAGATTTTTGGTTGATTTATTTCGGCTTAAAGTCAGTGAAATATGTTTTTAATTTTGTATGTAAAAACGCGTCACATAATGGTGGGTACGTAGGTTCTTCTCCTGGCTTTCCTTTTCATTGCAAAACTTAGATCATTAAGCACGAATCGAAAGAGTAAAAATAACTCACTTAAAATTGTCCTTATTATCATATGGTTGGCCCCATCCGACTATATTGCTACGTTCACTGATCAATCAACACGAAACGAAAATTTCACTACGACTAAAAGTGCTAAATTGGAAACACTGAGCGCGACAGACAACTAAATACACATGTTGGAAACAATCAGCGGAAAAACGGAAATGATATCCCTTTCCAACATTCCACAGGATCATATAACAACACGGCTAGCTTACCAACATAATAACGAAAATAAACGGATATTGCAGACCCCTCGAGTGAAGTTTTATTTGAGCATTACTATTTAGCCAGACATGTGAGCAAATAAAGGCTTTCGCACACACGAGAAGAGTTGTCATAAAATGCCACTCGTCTGGACAACAAAACGGTCCGTTGTTCTTAATTCAAAAATGGTGTCTGGTAGTTTATCAAGTACGATTACACAATTTTTCTCCGATAATGTATTTTACCAAAAGTGAACATTGTTTCGTAAATGATTGCGTTATTATCCTCTATAAGTGATGCGTTGTCAATCAATGTTCATATGAAAATTTATTTTTTCTGTTTTCATTGTGGTTGATGAGACTTAATGTTAACACAGACATGCTATGTGCGCTTCAAATGTCCTGACGAAGTGGTGAACATTTGCCTTTGATCAGTGTCTTGATTAATTTAAGAGTGGCTTTATTGGCGTTTTTTGTGCAACATAATTTTGTCTGTATTATATGTTATTCAGTACTATTATTTGTTGTCACTTTTGCTGTTCAGCTCTTGCTTTACATTATGGCAAAATGTAGAAATATCGTTAGCAACTCTCAAAAGGAGTCATTGTAACCTACAGCAGGAATATATAAATTTTTTGATGGCCATCGTCATATAAGATACATAATTTAATAAAATTGTTCCATCGTTAAATCGCGAAATAGTTAAACCGGATTCTTACTGTACATATTTAATGTATGTGCATTGTTTTGAATAATTTGGCAAGTGTTTTAAACAATGAAATAAAAAATGTTAATGGACGAAACAATTGCTATTCCCTACTCCATTTTAGAAATAAATCATGGAGTTTCATTAATTTCTCGCGTTTCCAGTTGAATGTTGAAAACTGTTAAATCATATTTCGTATCGAATGGAATACAACCACTCACTATGTACAACAGAAAGTAATGTTTGTTGTTTACCTCAATATAGCCTACCTTGAATGAAACAATTGAAACAATATGCCAATTTATATGACCTAAGTATGTTTAAACATTGCCGAATTTTCACTTCTGAGTTTGGTAGGAAGCTATCTTACTCCTTAAGAAGAACAATTAACTTCGTTTTATTGGCTTTTTCATCGCAAAATAATTTCAATTTTTCCCCTTTCATGACTTCTAATTATATATATATATGTATAACAATCTCATTTACTGCCAACAGTAAATAAAAAGAAATTAGAATAAATATTTAAACTAAAAAGCCAATTTGGGTATAAATTGAGCATATCCCAAAATTTAATGAAAACCTGCCAAACTAAACGTGACAAAAAACTTATTTGAGATGGAATTGGCCAGGAACAGAACCAAATACGGGACCATCATTGTCTACGGCACACGGGCACTTAGACAATTGTTAACTTTTCAGACAATTCAACTGGCCATTCAGACATAAATATTTTCATCCAGTGATATCCATTGGCTCACAATTTCAGAGGGCACAACCATATCATGGACAATGCTGAGTGCTGTCATTTTGTTTCAATGGAAATGATACGACTGCTGGTGGTGGTGTTTGTTTTTCAAATCAAAGTGTATGTGTGCGAGTGTGCTCAAGCTCTTCGCTGCGACTCTACTTTTACATGTATATGTATAATGTGGAGATGTTGATGTCTGTGCAAAGGAAGTGCAAAGCTCAGGGCAACCATTCAACAGGAACATCAAAGTTCGACATAATGCTGGTCGCACAGCTCCCAACATACCAATGTCAATTGGTTGCACAAAAAAAGTTTTGTATTTGTCTGTTGCAGTAACTCGTCCCATTTCAATCCTGGCCTATTACACTGCCGTCTCCCCAAAAATACTCCCGTTCTGTTTGCAAATGGAAGCAGATAATTATTAAAAAAGTTCGGATATTATTTGAAGTAGTGCTTTGGCGAAAGTTTCCGGTCATTATTTCGTTTTATGTTTCCTACTGGTCCTTCCTTTGACACAAAAGTCAAATATGAATTTTATCATGTTTGTTTTGTGGATAAATCGCACAGAGAGTGGGAGAGATGGCAACCCATATTAAGGTTGAGATATGCAAACATATGAAATATGAAAGGCAAACACAATTAAAATAAAGTTAAGACTGCATTAATTTTCTGAGGCTGTAACAAAGGTTTTGTTGGCTTTTATGATGGTCACGATAAGGCAATATCACAATTTATTACAAATGACTTTACGTTGTGAATAAATCAATTGGCAAATTTACAAAAAACAAGGATTGATTGAATACAAAGCTAATCAAAATAACCACATACATACACAATTATATACATATTATAAATAAAATCGGCATTTTTCATTTTTTCATTTTATCGTGGACACTAAATATAAATGAGGTTAATGGAGTGGTGGGGTGGATGATGATGGGTGTGATACCACAATGGTGAAATATGATACGAATTATTTAAACAATGTCAGTTACATGTGTTCCTTCTTCTAGATACAATAATATTTAATTTATGAGAATTAACCAATTCTGAAACCTCGTTCCTTTATCATTGCATCATATCACAAATGACATGTCTTGAACAACAACCTACAATAACTGATGGCATGATGCTTCTTCCACCCTCAGGCCAAATTATACAATTAGTTGTGGTTTCTGCGTTCAGATAGAAGGAAGGACGATGAGTTCATGTAATAAATCACAATGTCATTATGAGGGGGGGAGGCTAAGAAAGAGCTTTCTCCCTTTAAAAATGGGCAGGGTTATTGTGAATACAAATGCTAACGTTAATCATATATTATGTAAATACAGTCGCACGCGGTTATAGCGGACTCGTTCGTTATAGAGGCAGTAGAAAATTTCGAATGTAAACAAATTTGAATGAGAGTAAATGTTTTTGTTTTTAATTCTATTATATATATTATGTAAAATAAAAACAAAAAAATCATTATTCATTAAGCAAGAGTATAGATGTAATTTCTTAAAAAATAATCAGCGTTTTCTTAGTTTGCAAGCCAAAATTCACTGTGTGGGCCACAAAACTAGTTAGCTATAAAAGAAGTATGTTATAGTCGTGTTCCACTGTATCTTCTGACTCTCGTTTTGTTCAATTAAAAAAATTAAATTTAAATTATCTATTAATGCAAACTTACCTCCGTATCTGCAATTATTTTTGTCAGAGGGTATGTTTCCGTTGGGTTCCAGTCTATCCAAATACTCCTCGGAATTATAACCATTGTAGGGAACTTTATTACCGTGATTGTGACTATGGCCACCTCGATGATGGTGATGATGATGGTGGTGGTGATGGTGTGTGGAGTCATCATTATCTTCTCTGGATATTGCTGAAAGAGCCGAGAAAGAAAGACAGAAAATTTAGTTGCAAGAGAATCGATTTTATTAAATCAAAACGTATTGGCTTCTTCTTCTCGAAACTAAAGTAGTGACACCGAGATTTATTATTATCTGTCACCAATACGCAAATAGGCCGAAGACATTTTCTATTAAGCCCGGATTTTGATGAAGCATTTTTATTATATCATTATGCGTTGACTTATTATGGATGTTATGAAGGTTCAGCCGATTTTATGATCCAAATTGACAGAAATTGATAAAAGTGAAACAACTTTTGCAGTTTCTTATAAAAGACTGAACATAGAGTCCTTAATTAATATGATATGAGGATATGCCACCTTTACCTTACCATCTACAGGCTACAAGTTCGATTTAAGGCTATTAATAAAAACATATGTTGTTAATATAGAACTTGGCGTGTTTTTGCTAAAACGAATCCAGTTATTTTTCATGTATATTCATGTTTACAGATTTGTTGTCACGGAACAGTGGAGAAAATCTTGTTATGTTTATTTGTGCTAGGTCGACGAAAACCGACCATTAAAATATAGAAACATTTAAATATGTCATATGGGTTTGCTTTGGTGCATATGCGACTTTTGCCACCGCCCTTTGTCCTTTGTCAATAAACCTGAAATTAGGCAACAGAATGGTTAAATCAAATCCTCCACCAAACACAACCTGCAAAAATAACGAAACAGAAGCCCAGCGTCAAATAAAAAATGTAAATTGTATTTCAAGCTGTTTTCAGTTTTCAAACAAACACCTTCTACTGTATACCACCAACAATACTTTTCATGCTCAATAAATAAAGCAACGTGCCTTTATTTTGTAAAATACCTGGAAGGAAACAAATAACCGGCTGCAATTTAAACTAGTAAAAAAGTGTGAGGCGATGTTGTCGACAAGTATATATACCCTCAGCCTATGAAATAAAATACTGGTTTTATTATTCGCTTTATATGTATTTTCAATGAGGGAGGTACAAGAAGAAGTGGACCGACAATTCCCATCCTCCAACATTATACAGGCATGGTTAAAATATAAGATTGTGCAAAATTTAGTTCGCATGATGTTATAAAATAAATAAATTGAACAAAGTTTGGATGGAATCGGTTACATAAATACGGACGGACATTTGTAAATGAAAAAAATTTTAGTAAAATATTTTAAAATTCGAATATTTGTCAAGTAACCTTGCATACTCTAAGGCGGAAAATTCTCAATGTATACGTTATTAGGCTTCAATAAATAAATTATTTATTCCAATTTTTTGAGAACCATTGAAATGAGAGAGGTTGCATTAAATCAACTCAGATTTGCTTGAGAATTACGCTTAAATATCATCACCTCTAATAACGTTAGTTTTTTTTTTTAATTTTAAAATATTTTTATAGTTGTTTGTATGCTGTCGACACGACTACGCCAACCGTAATAAGGGTGCGTATATTACAAAAAAAAAGACGATATAACCATCCATGAAAATGTCACAATGGTGACTAATATAATTTGCAATCCAAAGACTTTTATTAGATACTGAAAAGTAAGTAAACTAAAATGCTGAAATTATGTAGAGTGCACAAATCTACAAAATCCCTTACAAACAAATCCATTTAAATCGAAACCTGTGCAGATTGCCGAGGTTGTCAGCCAAACATACACAGGAAGACAAAACCGACCCGAAAACAACAACAACAGCTCAAATGATAAATATTATTTATATTCACCACCCCAATTTGTGTTTCGGCTTTGCTTTCTTGTTTTCGATTCGAAAAAATACCGTCAAATAAATTTCAATGATAATCTCCATATTTGCCAAAGTAAGCCGTTCTACGCCGTATTCGAGGGGAAACAAATTCGACGAACAAACGCAAATTGAACTGAAACAAGACTTGTGGCGAAACAAAACAAAATGTTCCGTTTTTTACAATTTATTTCTGCAGTTTTTTGTGTAGTTTCTGCTGTTTTTCTGTATATATTCTATGCTGCACACCGGATATCCTGCCGTTCTACATTTAAAAATATAAACATTTCTGTACATTTTCTGCAAATAGTGAATTGGCTGAGTTTGCCCTGTCGAGTTTGTTGTCGTTGTTCCGCTGCTGTTGTTGTTGTTTTTATGTTGCAATTGTTTGCTCTACGTTCGCCCCGTGAAGTAATTTGCATTTTTAGAATTGTGTAACCCATTTTAACTTCCAGTGGATCCTTTTGTTCTACTAAATTGTGACATTTATACTTGACGTGTATGTGTGTGTGTTCGTTGTGCTACATTCTCGCAGACACACATACACCAAAACATGTTCAGAGACCAAGCCACCAATATGACAAACCGACGTTGGTTTGCCCTGGTAGTACAAAGGGACAGAAAGTTATTAAAATTGTAATTGTCGTTTAAACCCCAAAATGCACAACATACACACCGACACACACACACACACACAGACACAACAACCTTTATGGGTTGATATTTCATTGTATTTCGTTCTGGGCTATTCTCTTTTTATTCTTCTTTTTGGGTTAACAAAATGTAATTTCGTAAATAATTCACTACTTCCCAAGTGCCCTGGACCAGAGACCGATCAACCTCATTTTCACCACACAGCGTCAGCTGAGCCAGAAACAATGATGACATCTTCGCCCATTCAAAGGATTCAGTGCTTTGATCAGACTCGACCCATAAATGGGTTAATAGTGTTGTGTGAAATGTCATTTTTAATTTAATTTGTCACACATTTAAATTATTTTCAATTTATTATTACATATTAATTAAAAGAGTGTTTGGAGCAATTTATAGGTGAAATAATATGGAACTGAAATATTCCTAAATTCCCCAGACATATTAGAGTAAGACATAACTACGAATTCATCGCATTTACTATACTTGAACCGTCGTCCCCTTATTATAGAGATGCACCCAGAATCTGGTGCTTCAATTCAGCCAAGAACTCGTTATAAATTTGTTTTGCCAATCATCAATTACTATCACCGGAATATAGAATGAGTTCGTGTCTCGTCGTCTGCTCTGTTTTGGGAATTATTTATTGAAATGACGTTTTGGAAACTATACTCTTATATTTCAGACACTGATACTTTTGGCCAAGCATACAAGTGGTCGATTTGTAGCACTTTTGCCATGATTAACATTATGGGGCATCGACATCATCACAGTGAACTATCACGCCATACAGTCTTAATCATGCACACGAGCAGAGCAACAGCAGTAGTTGAGTGGCTGACATCAATATTCGGTATTCATTATTTTAGCCAATATTAATTAGGTCATTCCTGGTAATGGGTGGTGGCAGACAGTGTAAAAGCAGCAGCAGGCGTTGGGGGAGGATTCGCCATTAGTGCTGCATTAGTTCGCCATAACGAATGACTCCGCCAACTGCTAGCCAAGCTGGCAGACTTGGCTTCCTTTTTATATTAGCGACATGACAAATTGAGCTTATTAGAGGAAATTGATGGTGATAAGGTGTGTTCCATGTACGGCGTTTGGCGTTCAAGTGAAAATAGTTGGTAATTAGTGAGGACTACTTTGGAGTGAATGTGGTGTACACAACAAACAAAAACGGGGAGCAGCAGGTGAATTATACACAAGCAGGTTAATTCAATTGTTGAAAGTTATTCGACAGCAAAGTGCTAGTTTCATGCAACAAAGGACCCGAAAGGCGGATTGGATGGAGTGAAAAATTTCAATTAGGAAGACCGCAACATCCCTATTGCTTAAACAATAGTCAATTCAATTTAAAAAAAATATCGTCCAACAGTGAAGGTAAATTATGGTTAGATATGATTTTGAATTAATTTTGTCATTACAACACATGCTTGCTTCGTCAAAAACACGTAGTTTCGTAGCATAATGCAGCAGCTTTGCTGTTTTGATTCGTAGCCGATGTTTGCCTCCGCATTACAAAATTTAGAAAAACGCATGTTGACTGTAGCGAATACGTTATGGGAAATATTACGTATACGTGACAATGCTATTGACAATTTGTGGCACATACTTCTACATTCAGTGAACCAAATATGTTGCACCAATTATAATATTGTTTGTTCCGAATATTTAATATTGTACAAGTTTCGATACTGGCACAGTATGGACTTATATGAGTTCCAAATCCACAACACGACAATAGCACACAACAAGCAATACATACATGTTGCCAATTAGCAAAACATTCTATCTGCCATCTTCAAAAAAATGTTCCCATTAGGTCAATACCGAAGATTGTTTTAAGCTGCATTGTAGTCCTAAATATTCAAAAATGTATTGAATGTCATTTCCCCCACGATTTCATGTCTGTTATTTCCTTAGGAATTACGTAGAAGTTAAATACGAATATGAGGAGGAGTAAATGAAAAATGTCTCCAATACCATTAAATTCTAATTCGACCTAATGATATTTCAAAATTATTTGTTAAGTCGCACAACGCCCAAGCTCGAACAAACTAAATTCTGCGGAGTAATCCGTACAATATACCTTGTCATTGGATACTGTCATCTAGACAAGAACAACGATTCTAACCTTAACGAAATAAATATAAACATGGCAAATAATAATGGGCAGGCACGTAGGCGGAAGCGACAATGGAAGGACTGTGAAATGCCATTAAAACAAACATTCGAAACACTCTAGTCAAGAAACATAACGGAGTCGGAGTGGATAAGGTGTGGCCGGACACGATATTCACAACAGCTGGCAAAGAGCAGAGACAATTGACACATTACACCTTATTGTTGTTAATGTTCACTGCAGGACTCGGCCGCTGGGTGATGTGTAAAATAGAATACCTCAACAGGGAATTACTTAAGCAAAAATACCGTATTCTATTTCAGCAAAATGATTAAAAAAATAAATGAAAATGGTCAAAATATGTTGAAATTCTACGCTTAATTTCAATTAAAAAATCTATGAAAAAAATGGAAACTAATTGGCGAACCTATGTACGATATTGAAATTTGAAATAAACATTTGTAAAGACAACA